GAGGCTTTTGGGAAAAGTGATTTACGACGGGCGATCGCGTCTGCCGAAATGAACGGCACCGAATTCGCACACTGCTGCCTCGCCGTCGAGAGCGCATGTCCGTGAGCTGAACCTGTCAAATTCTGACCGGATCGAAATATATTATCATCGGTAGCGAGAACGCGCACGGATCAGAACCCACCGTCTCGATTCGCGACTAGGTTTCCGACGATTTTTGATACGAGCTTGTCGGCTCGCACATTAGCTCTAAAATAGAAATTCATCAGAGCGAGGACACGTCCCTTTTATCCTCTCCCCGATCTGTCATCCACTTCTCCTCGATGTGCTAGTGTTTGAAATAATTCGAAGCTGCCGGTATCGCCGACCGGATAGAGTGAAAAATGTTTCTATCAGCATTGTACGGTGAGGGATCGCGAAATTAACCGCATGTGAGTGCTCTAAACAAGCTATTACCATTGCCAGGGCGTTTACATGGTAGGTGGTGATTATACAGCGCATTCAACGCCGGGCGAGACCAGACACTCCCCCAAGTCCGATCGCGCACATGTAACACATACAAGCGCAATGCACGTGTGTATTACAGATGCACTCGCGCGCGCAGTCGCACTCAATTATGCTCGCGCTGTCCGCCGGTGGCTTGACGTATGCTACATGTATGCTGCATGTTCATCCGTCTCCAGGGGTCCGGATGTTCCGCTTTTCTCTCTCTCTCTCCCTCTATTCATCTTTTCGCTCCGTCTGCAACGCTTTCTCCTTCGTTTCTCCCCCGTCGAACGTCCACCTATCGCGAGTCAGTGACGAAGAATTAATTGCGCCGGAGTCCTTGGCGCTCCTCTCCTCCTCGCGAACGGACCGACGTGGGGCGATCCTCTTTGTTCGTCCGAACGTGGCTTCCCGTATCGTCGTCGCGCCGAGAGAGAATGCACGCGCGCGTATATATACCTGTGTGCGTTTCGCGCGAGTGCATCGGGTGCATCGGGAACACGCACATATGTATGCACTCAATGCGACTCGAGGAGAGTCTCTTTGGGCACACAGAATCGGCAAGATTTGTTCGCGGGTCAAGGATGTCGGGTCCTCGCGGCCAACCCGATTGCAAGATAATCGCGCGTACAAAGAGCTTTTCGCGCGCCCGCGATATTTCTTACGGAAGTTATCTTTCGTCGCATCTCGAGATCGGGATAGCTTGATGTCGCTGCTTTGATTTACCGCGATTTACCTTATGAATTTTTAATTCGCTGTTATGTAAGAGTGAGCTTATATATATAGCGACATTCAGAAATATCTAAAAATGACGCTTATAAAGCATTTGTTGTATTTTTAGCGTTTATTACTTATATTATCTCTCTTTCTCTCTTTATATATAGCTAATTAATTTATTGGTAAACGCGAGACGGGATATTTTATAAAATATATATTGATATTCATTGAGAGAAATCGCTTATCAGATATTTTGATTTTTGGGCCTAATCCAGGATTGAATTAGGGCGCTTTTATTTTTGCAACATTGCAACCGTCACTTACGTGACTCTAGCCTCTCTAAAATTTTTGACTGACCCTGAAACCAAGGCGGCGGACTAATGCATCGTCAAAGGTCCGTGAGATCCGTCCAGAGATCCTTCCAGCACCAGAAAGAGGGATCAGAGCGATCCGTTGCAAGGCCCACTCCATTATATCCGAACAATGTAACAAATAACCTCATCAGACTATCTCAGACGCCATTGTGAAGCATCATCCGAGGTTCGTTGGGGAATGCACCTTTGCCCGTTTTGTTTTAAAAAAGAAACCCGCTTAGAAGTTCTGCTTCGCAAAGATTCGGTCGTCTCGACCTGGCTTACGCTTTGGTAGTTTCATAATTCTCTCTTACATTTGTCCAATAACTTGCATAGCAGCGTGTTATCCGTCTGCATATCTCTATCCGAAGCCTCAGTAGCGAGAATACACGTAACTTTAGCTTATTAATTCAACCAGCAACAATTAATTCAAATATTTATATCTCACGAACTTTTGTCAAGTATTATAACTCATCGCGTTATCCAGCATGATTTCAATAAGCCTCGGTTATTGAATTTACATGTGATTTTTAAAGTGTTTGCTTCTTTCTTTCGAAGCGGACATTAATTATTAAAGATACAATCCGCGAATGTTCGCAATAGGAAGTTCGCTCTCCGAACCAGGCACTCGGATCGAATGTCTGGAACGAACTCGAGCATAGTTTTCGAAATAAGCGAGATAACGCTCGCGTGAGTCTCGCTCTTCGCGGACCTCGTCACCTTGTTGACTCGGACATTGTTTAGGTCGCCGGCCACGAAGGCGACGTCCGCCCGGGAACGAGAACGACCCGGCCGACTCTTGGCGCGGATCCACAACGTGGCCGGACTAGCCAAGCGGGCTAGTCGCGCGATCAATTCCACCGACACCCACGCGCGCCATGTATTCTCCCGCGCTCGTTATCTGACTTCCAACCTTTTACGTTGCCGTGTGTCTCCTTTATGTGTCGCTGGCCGGTCTACGTCCTTCAAATCTCAAGTTTATCGAGAGCCGAGAGTGAGAGTCTCTTCTCGCTCTTCGTTCCGGGTGGCCGGGCGGTGAAGAATGCAGTGGGGGAGATCGCGAATTGTAACCACCCGTGTTGGGAATTTCGGATAAGTTGGTCCTCTTTCCCTTTCGATGCGACGGCCGATACCCGTTATACCTTCTTCGTCCCGTATCAGATCGACTAACGAAACTTTATAGCCCCGCATCTTTTATGTTTCCTCGATCTTAGACTTTACGATCGCGCGCTTGCGGCAAGTTGCGGGCACCACAGGAAAGAATAAACAACAGGGCCATGGTTTTCTGCATTTTCTACACATATTACACGTGGAAGATGATTCCGCCGACCCTCTCGAGCCTTTAGATAAAGCGGTCGGTAACTATTGGCAGCGTTAAATTCTAATCTCGAGGTGGCGATAATGTTATTTCGAGCGTGCCGATGTAGATTAGCTCGTAGAATACGGTTAGACGACGATGGAGAAGCCGGTTAAACTGGCCGCTGATGAACATCGGCGAGAAACATTTACAAGAGCGTCTCTCTCTCTCTCTCCTTCGACGTTATCGCGAGAAATAGCGTCGTCGCGCCGGTTAGGTGTAATCAGCTAATAAACTGTGCACAAGAAGATATAAATTTCATAGGTGCGTGGTCGCAGCGCGAGTGCACATAACGTGATCAATGCTTCCCTCCGCCTGTCTTCTTACTGTCGTCGCACTGCCAAAACAGCAGGAATCTTTATAAATTGCGGACCATCTATTACGAAAACGTCGTTGCACTATGCGACGTTTATTATCACAGTACATCAAGAGCTCCGTGCAATTTCTAAGATGAATTAACCGAAACTGAAACATTACGCTAGCTTAAGACATTGATAAATCTTTTAGTTAAACGAAGCACTTAAAGTATCTCTCTTATCTGACCATTTTTGTTTTCGCTTATCGGCTTAACAATCTTGATGCGTTTAATAAAGTCTTCTATTATTTTTTTTTAATATTTTACGAATAACGACTAATTTGCATTATACGATGCAACGTAGAGATTCGTGTTTAATAGCTAACAAATAGATCAATGGAACTGAAATATAATAAAAAAAATAGCCGATACTTTTAAATCAAAATATACACCTCGCGTAGAGACCGTGCAGAAGATCTCGAATATCGCCCGCCTACACAGAAAAATAATCCAAAATCGATGATTTTGTTTTGACGATGGCGAAATGAATTGAATTTAAAATATCCGCTCCGTGGGAGGTTGTCCAGTGTGTTTCGAAACATTATATGGCAAAAAGAGATTATCTGTTTGCATGTTTTGTATTTTTTGCGATCGTCATCCATTGATTCGATTGATAATTGACATTTAATTATAGTTTTATTGAAACTAATATTCAGATATTTATTCTTATATTAAGAAAGAAATAATTTTATTAATAATAATAAGATTGAAAAATTAAATTAATATGCTCATATATAATTCTTACATATATTAGATTTTGAAGCGAAAATAGAGTTTTGGCTTAAGTTGAAAAGCTAACTAAGTCACTATATTTGATTACTAGTTAGCTGAATTCTAATAGATAAAAATATTAAATTAACATTTTACGGATATGTTAGAGTTGATTATAAAGTGCATTTGGCAGATTAATTTTTATTTTATTAAAAAAAATTATTTTCTATCTTATTAATCTTTTCACACACACACATTATGATATTAAATTATTATCAATTAACTTTACTCGGTCTACAACATCTTTTACAATAAGTTTGAACTTACGTGTCTTAAAGTCAATACGTTCTAAGTGTACGGTCACAATATGTTTTAAATGACACTACGAGATGTGATCAAAAAGTTCGTGCAATTTTTATTTGAAAAAGTATGTCTTTATTCACCTATATTAATGTTGTCCCCTTCAAAGTAAGCCCCATCAGATAAAACACATTTATGTCAACGTTTTTTCCAGTCTTCAAAACATTTGTGGAATTCTCTCTCAGTTTTCAGTATAATCTTCAATTCGCTCAGCGATTTTTGTTTAACATCTTCAACGGTCGCAAATAGTTGCCCTTTTATGGTTTTCTTTATTCTTGGGAAGACTGTAATCACCAGGTATGGCACCGTGTGACTTCTTTCTCTTCCCAAGAATAAACAAAATCATGAAAGCATAACGATTTGCGACCGTTGAAGATATTAAACAAAAATCGCTGAGCAAACTGAAGGCTGTACCGAAAACTGAATTCTACAAATGTTTTGAAGACTGGAAAAAACGTTGACATAAATGTGTTTTATCTGATAGGGCTTACTTTGAAGGGAACTGTAATGTATTAGGATACGGTACTGGGAGCGAGCAGCGGCGCGACGGCACGAGTGGAAATGACTGATCCGCACTCGATATAGAAGTAAGTCAGTCGAGCGTGGCGAGCGTCACGGACGCACGCGGGTACATACATATATCTGTATAACTTTTATTCAGCATTAAAATATCTTACGGTGATTGCGAAGCGGAATTGGTCATCAATTGTTAATGAGCCACCTCACCCGATACACTACAATTGGCGACGAGGACAGAGGTTTTACGAACCGAAGCAAAGGTTTCGAATAGTGTGAAAGTCGTAGGAATTTCACGTTTCGGCGTAGGGTACGAGGCGACAATAAACAGAAGCACGAAAGGACGATAACAGCAAACGCGGATGGCACAAGCGACGCAAGATTTAATCGACTATACGAAAACGTCGTGGATTTATGAACTAAAAAAACCGGAACTAAGAAAAATAATCCAAGATTTAAAATTGGTGGCGGATGAAAATTTAAGTATCGACGAGTTACGCAGAATTGTACGCGCGCACGTAAGCGAGATCAACGAAAGCAGATCAAAGCAAGCGGACGAGGCTTGTAATTTATTAGTAAACAACGAGAAACCGAAAATCATCCACACAATGACGGAGAGTAGTAGTGCGAAATTGGAATTTCACCTCGGAGATGACTGGGAAACATACACCGAGAGACTGGAGCTATATTTTGTCGCAAACGATGTGAAGGACGAGAAACAAGCAGCGGTATTGCTAACAAAAATAAGCGCAGACACGTATAAGCTTATTAGAGATTTGTGTACACCAGTTAAGCCGTCAGCGAAGACATTTGCACAATTAGTGAAATTAGTCAACGATCACTTGAATCCAAAGCCATCGGAAACGATGGAAAGATGCAAATTTCATCAAGCACAACAATCGCATACAGAATCAGTAGCAGAATTTGCAGCAAGGTTGAAAAATTTATCAATTACATGCAATTTCGGGAACAACGCGACAACAGCGCTACGAGACCAACTTGTTTGTGGCTTAAGAGATCACGCGACGAAAACATTGTTATTTCGAGAGGAGAACTTAACGTTCGATAAGGCATTCAAGTTAGCGACAACAGTAGAATCGGCAGAAAAAAATGCTAGCTCTACAAGTAGACCAAACGGAGAGTCGTCGAAAGAAACAGTAAATAAATTTCAAGGAAATTCAGAGAATAATCGTCAGTTCCAGTCACGGGGCAAGGGGTCAAACCGAGGTAAGCAAGGGAGCCCACAGCATAACAATAATACACGACCAGGGGTCAAAGATAAGCGGACGACAAACATAAACCAAGAACGTTCTTCTTCATGTTACTGCTGCGGAAAAAATAATCACTGGGCACGTGATTGTTACCATCGCTTCAACACGTGTAATATCTGCAAGCAGAAAGGACACTTGGCTTCAGTATGCAAAACCGGAAGAGCAGTCCAGCATATACAGCAGGGTACAGATGACCACGAGGAATAGCAACGGGACGAGTACGACTTCTTCATGGCAACAGACGGCAACGACTCATCAAAAACAACAAGCGGTAAATTATACTATAAGGACCATGTAAATGATGTAGAAGCGGAACCAATGTATATGAGTATGATGATTAACGGAAAAAGGATAGAAATGGAAATTGATACAGGGTCATATGCGGCGATAATTTCAAAAAAAGATAGAGAATTGTATTTCCCGAACTGTGAAGTCAAAGCAAGCAAAGTACCGTTGAAAGCATATGGCAAAGTGTTGTTAGAACATGAAGGTATACTTGATAACTTAGATGTTAGGTTAGGTAAACAAAGAGCAACACTTCAAATGCGAGTAATGACGAGAGACGGTCCTATATTAATTGGTAGACACTGGTTGAAAGTTTTTGGGTTGTGGCCTTTCGAATTAAAGAAAAGAGTTGAATTTTGCAACAAAATTAACTTAATGAGCGTAACAAAAGATTTCACATCTAAATATCCAAAATTATTCGGTAAAGGACCAGGTTTATACAATAAAGGAATGCTGAAACTAATGGTAAAAGAAGGTACGAAACCTGTGGCACTAAAAGCGAGACATTTACCATTCGCGTTGGCAAGTAAAGTTGAAGATGAGATAAACAGACTAGTAAGATTAGGTCATTTAGAGAAAATCGATGTCAGTGAATGGGCAACACCGATTGTCCCGGTAATAAAATCAGACGGATCTGTTAGAATTTGTGGAAATTTTAAACTAACGTTAAATCCCAGCTTGATTAGAGACAGGCACCCAATACCATTAATCGACGAGATTTTTGTAGCGTTAAGAAACGGTAAAACTTTTTCACAGATTGATCTGCAGCACGCTTATATGCAGATCCCGGTAGAGGAAAGCAGTCGAGATTTCCTGACAATAATAACGCACAAAGGTCTCTACCGGTACACAAAAATGACGGAAGGAATTGCATCAGGTCCAGGAGATTTTCAGCGGAAAATAGAGCAGTGTCTATCAGGCATCGATGGTGTAATTCCTTATCTAGACAATATTTTTGTAACGGGAGAAACCGACGAAATTCATTTAAAAACATTGTATATGGTATTCCAAAGATTAGAACAAAGTGGATTTCATGTAAATATCAATAAATGTGATTTTTTCAAAGAGAAGCTAGACTTGTTAGGATTTGTTATTAACAAGGAGGGATTACACAAATCAGAAACAAAAGTGAAAGCAATGACAAATGCACCAGTACCGCGAAATAAGAAACAATTAGAATCTTTTATCGGATTGATTACTTATTATGCGAGATTTCTACCTAATAGAGCAGAAAAGTTACAACCTTTATATAAATGTGCTAAAGCGGAAACGTTTAAATGGACGGTAGAATGTCAAAAAGCAGTTGATTGGGTCAAAATGGAATTAATATCACCTCGAGTATTGGCACACTACGATCCGAAAGAAGATTTAGTATTGTCATGTGATGCGTCCACGTATGGATTAGGAGCAATTTTAGCGCACCGATATAAAGATGGTACGGAGAAACCAATAGCTTATGCATCTAAAGTAATACCGGAAAAAGAATTAAATCGCGCAATCATTGATAAGGAAGCCAGTGCAATCGTATTTGGATTTAAAAAGTTCTACAACTATATTTACGGAACAACTACACTAACGTTACGGACAGATCACAAACCTTTGGTTTTTATCTTTGGTCCAAAGCAAGAAATTCCTTTGACGGTAGCAAGTAGATTACAAAGATGGGCGTATTTTCTATCGAGATTTACATACACCATAGAGTACGTTACATCGCAGGAAAATAGAAACTGTGATGCACTGTCGAGACTTCCGATTAACGATAGCATTCAGATATTTGATAATGAATTTACAATGATAAATTATGTTTCAGAAGCTTTAGATACATTAAACGCGAAAAAAATTGCAAAAGAAACAAAGAAGGATAAGCTATTGAGTAACGTTATTAAGTATATAAGCGGTACATGGCCAGCGGTAAGCGAGATGAATGAGGATGAGAATAAATTCTATGCGAAACGGGATGAATTGAATGTCGAAAAAGAGTGCTTACTGTGGGGATATCGCATAGTGGTACCAGAAGCAGTAAAACCCAGTGTTCTAAGTGAATTGCACGCGTCACATTTTGGGGTGGTAAAAATGAAAATGTTGGCAAGAAACTATGTGTGGTGGCCAAACATTGATAAAGACATTGAGAATGTAGCAACGGCATGTAAAGTGTGCGTGCAAGAGAGAAAGAAACCGCCTAATGTTCCGCTAACGCCATGGCCGTATCCCGATAAGTGCTGGAGTAGGATACATACTGATTTCCTAGGTCCTGTTCATGGACATATGTTCATGGTAGTAATGGATGCGTATTCGAAATTGCCAGAAGTTATCGATATGAACAAATGCACCACGGCAGAGAGGGTCATTGAGGAGTTTAAGAAAATTATAGTTAGGTACGGATTACCGAAGCATGTAGTAACTGATAACGGCACACAATTCACGAGTAACGAATTTCGAGAATTTTGTAAAGCGAACGGTATCAAGCAGAGTTTCACAGCACCGCATCATCCAGCAACAAATGGTGCAGCTGAAAACTTTGTCGGTACTTTCAAAGATAAAGTCAATAAAATAATGCAAGGCGGGAAATCATTAGAATATGCAGTTAATCTATTTTTGTTTGACTATAGATCCATTGAGCATTGCACTACAGGCAGATCACCGGCGTTCATGATGTTTAAACGAGAAATAAGAACGCGCTTTGAGTTAATGAAACCGAGTGTAATCGATGATGTAGAGAAACAACAGAGAGCGCAAATCATAAGTAGACGCGGTAATCGAAATGTTGAGTTCCAAACAGGTGACATGGTAATGGTTGAGGATTTTGGTGTCAGAAGTAAAAAACGGGTCGTAGGCACGATCGAAGAAAAAGTATCACCGGTAACGTTTAGGGTGAAGGTTGCACCTGATAAGCTATGGAAACGACATGTCGATCAAATCATTAGATACACACCGACGGTGGTCGATAACGATAAAGGTACAGCGGTACCAGCAAGCGAATCTCGAGTGAAGCTACGCCGCTCGGAAAGAACAAGTAAAGGGGGCGAGTTGTAATGTATTAGGATACGGTACTGGGAGCGAGCAGCGGCGCGACGGCACGAGTGGAAATGACTGATCCGCACTCGATATAGAAGTAAGTCAGTCGAGCGTGGCGAGCGTCACGGACGCACGCGGGTACATACATATATCTGTATAACTTTTACTCAGCATTAAAATATCTTACGGTGATTGCGAAGCGGAATTGGTCATCAATTGTTAATGAGCCACCTCACCCGATACACTACAGGAACAATAATAATATAAATTATAGATGAATAAATAAGACATACTTTTTCAAGTAAACAAAAATTGCACGAACTTTTTGATCACACCTCTTATACCACGCACATAATGTAACTACGTCAACTCGGGTATTCATGATAACAAGTGGCTGACGCGCAAATGTGGCTGCGTCACAAAATGTAGGACGCGAGTTCGGGTCTAGGCTGAGTTATTCAGATTAATTGTCTTTTAACGTTGCTTGCATAGAAACGGACGCTGCGCGAACAGGGTCCATTTCGCAGCGCTAACTCGTGACATTGCTAATCACAGTATTAATATTCACGATGACGTTCATCGCGGAATACTTTTTCCTTCTTTTTCAATTGAACCCTCGGCAACCGAACTGAATAAATTAGTCATTTAAACTGTCAGATTAGATAAAAAAGAGTTATTAGTCGATATTAAAGGCAAAATTATCATAACAGTTCGTGAAGAGAAGACAAATATTTGCATCACAACAAAGAAGTAAATCTTTTAGCATTTAACTTAATTAAATTATACATCATTTTTTAAATGATAATAATTTGATAAATATTTTGGAAATTTAATTAAAAATAATTATTTATCGTGCTTCTCTGTGTTAATTTTTTTATCTACTTTCCTTGAAATATTAGAATATCATTTTAAGATTTACAGAATATTTATCTCATAAATATCAAAGCTTCCCCTAATCACTAAATGATAAATCCACTTCTAATCTCAGCAAAAGATGAAAATAAATGTCTTCTATATTTCTTCGATATTCAAGAAGCAATTATCTCGCCAGTGTCGCGTATAATCAAATATATCCGCAAAAGTACTTTGCACCACCGGGGGGCCGCCAGAACATAATAATGTCATAATACACGTAAATCGCCGCGAAGGGATTCTGATGTATACGCCGACGCACTTGCCCCAGCACGAGAGAGAAGAACGCGAGGATCCGAGAACATATAAGAGGGACGTAAGGATGAAACGGGTAAAGAGATGGACGGCGGTAGTAGCGGTTACGAAGATTTGTAGGGACAGGTTCCGGGACTACCTACTACGAGCGCACAGCTGTTGCGTTCTCACCTCCTAGGAGAAGAGGTCTCGTAGTAGATCTTCCTCGTTCTCTCGTCGTCTTCGTCCTCCGCGGTTTCCCGCTTGCTCCACCTTCACGTACACCCACACTCGCACGGCACCGCTTTGCACGCGCGTTCTCTGCCTACCTACCTACCTACCAACCTACCTACCTACGTGATCCTGCCCGGCTAACACACTGCCACACTAACAACCGCCATTCTACCTCCGTAACGGTACATCACTCCGCTCCTATGTGGTCCTTTCGGTTATGTCGCAGCGCCGGGCGGCTGTGGAGAACGGCGACGAAAAGACGGTGGCGGAAGCGCGTGACGGAGAACGAGAGAGAGAGGATGTCGTCGCCGTAAAAGTGCAACGGAGGAAGGGTAACGACGAGAGCGAAAGGCACCCAGTTTGGGCACCCGCGACCTGGTACTCTTTGTACATGTTTCGAAGCGCTGACGAATTTTTCGTAAACGCGAGCAATTAATTGTATATAGTTTTCGTGATATCGTTCCGTTTCAATTGACTCCACGGGAATTTTGCGTTTGACAGGAACGTTTTTGTACGATAGGTATGGCAGTTTATTTTATTAATTGATTGACGCATGCATATACTGCTCAAATGTAAGGAAAATTCAGTAATTTTTTCGGTAAGCACAAGAAAGGTTTTTTTACTATATAAATTATTTCAATTCAATTTTGTTTTTACAAAAATATTTAAACTGTTAAATTATTATATAAACCTGTTTTTCAGGTGAACTCAGGTAATTCATGATAAAATTTAAGACAAAATTCTATATAATTTTATGTGTCGCATATCCTAATATATGTTAATCCCCAGAGAGTTCTCTTAGGATTAACCCTGAAAGTCATGGTTAATCGTAGGACAATATGGTATTGGAAGAATTTTATAAGAGTTTCTCTGATTAATATTTACCACAATAATATAAAAATATGAACATGTGCATAAAATAAAATGCTCTCTGTGTATGCATTTCGTATATATTTTGTATATTTTTACACTTATCCTATTTTCTATATACGATATTTTCTCGAATTTTGTCGCGATTTATAAAGCTAAACTTTTAACGTTGCATTGAGAAAAATAAGTAAAAATCTCAATTGTATTGTAAATGCACTAATACTAATTACCCAAAAATTGAATCTCATCAAGTTATATTATTTGATTTTCTATCGTTTCACAATATTTTTGTATCGATCGCATATTGAAAAAGAAAGGGGGAAAGAATCGGGCGAATACTTTCTGATATCAGAAGCAAGTACGTTCTCTATTGTAAGCGCACAACATCGACATACGACGTGCTCCGCGCGACTGCCCACACTTCTCGGCCGTTGCACCGTGCGTCCGTCGTGCGTGCATATGCGTAGTGCACGCGTCTCTTTCCCTCGTGTGCACGCGTGAGCGAGCTCTCCTTTCCTCGCGACTCGCGAGTACGAGTACGTGCGTGCTGGGCGCGAATACTTTCACACGGAGGTGAACAACACGCCGCGGTATCCAGGCCAGGGGTGGCCAACCACCGTCGTCCCTATACTCTCTCTCTCCTACCTTCTTTCGAAGATATCGAACTCTCTCGTCGCGCTTACTCGCGCGACGTCTCTCGCGAGAGAGTCTTGTCTTTACCGAGCGCGTCGGTGTGCGAGTAGATATATGCAATATGCACCACGAATGCACACTGTACTTGTACTCTACATGCGAAGCGATACTATCCGCCACCCGTCGTTGCAATCCCCTCGGCGGTTAACATGCCTCGGCGAGATCCTTGGTATTGAGCGCGATAACCTTCCTTCCTTGGCAGCGAGCATTGCTGCCTATTAGGCGTTCCTCATTTGGAACGCTGTGTCGAGGCCGAAGTCGACTATCGACTATCGCAGACGGAGGACAGGCACGAATAGTTTGGACGATGACAAATGCTCTTCATTGAGACGACACGAGATTTCATTCGAAATCTAGCATTATAACCGCATTTGTTCTCGGTGACAATACTGAATACGACTCGTATTTCTAAAAATGAACCTATTATTATTATTATATTCTCTATGACACGTGGACGGTTTGACGTTAATTGTGACGATTTTAACGACTCAGATGTGGTCCGAGTGAAATTATTACGCACGCTTGTCAGTGATATCAATAACGTTGCTTCTCTCACAAAATCACAAATAACGCCGGATGCTAACAAGAGGACAGCTGTTTCGTATAATTTTCCTTGACGCGAGATCTCATTTTACCGTGATGTTAGCGACGACGTACTAGCCTTGATGTGAGAGACTTTGGAAAGACGATAGATCGTCGAGTAATAGAATCATATATTTTACAGTCAACTATCTCGAATTTAAAAATAAAAATGATTAAAGATAGAAAAAAATGTTTACTTGTGTATTATATAATCTTACATCTTTATGTCGTTACTTCTTACTTCTGCTAATGTATTTGCGCTTTTTTATAGTAGCATAATAATTCAATCTGAAAACTTGTAAATATTAAAATTTTATTATTTATTATTGTAATCACACACATACACACATAATAAAATGCGGAGATAAACAAAATATATGTCTGAATTCCAGAAAATTACTGTATAATGTTGGAGGAATAAATGAGAATTAATTTAGTTAAAAAAATAGATGTATCTTTTATCTTTATTATTGAAATTAATTCTAGAAGACAATTAAAACAATACAAAATAAAATATTATTAAATAAAGCATTAAGATATGAAAGATATATATAAAATCAACGTATACACGCGGGTTTGAAATCTATATACTTTACTCATCGGTCATGATCGTTTATCGGGCCGCCGATTATATCGATTAAGAGAGTGTATCAGGCTAGCGGGCTTTATCTTTGTTTTTTTTTTGAAAAGTTAGCGTACGATAATAATAATTAACTAGCAGAGTAGGATTTACGCGTGTAGTCGCGTGTCTGATATCTTCCTGTTTATTTTTTTTATCGCGACAAGGCAGCAACGAGATACGAGTTTCGCGCAGTTCGCTACATTGAAATGCATCGCTTGTTCACCGACGCGGCGAGAGATCGAGATAATTAGCGTCAAAATCGCGGCATCGCTCGTCGCGACTCGTTTGCGCATCCTGTTATATGCCGCGTCCGTCTGCGACGAGGATCTTATCGTCTAGAACATCGATATTTTCCGTCGATGACGAGGTCGTTTGTCGAGATTATGTACGCCGAAAAATTACCAGCCAACGCTGATGATGACTCGATACTTAAATGAAGGAATAAACCGGTATATTGGGTCAATGAAGATAAGCTTTTCCCAAGTTGCAGAAATTAGAAATCTGTATGCTAATGATAGTGATAACGATAAAACGCACGAGTTTTTTATATTCCGTTATTAAGACTGTACTCTAATTCAAGCTTTTTTCAGATGACTTTACATTTAATATAGCCGCGTTTGCATATTTCTTTATTATGGGTGCAAACTTCGAGGCTTTTCAAGTTTAATCAGAATTTATATCGAATTTCTATATAATTTGAAATTATATAAAAGAATATATAATTAAATTTTAAAAAATTTGATATAAAAATAATGTAAAAAAGTATCTTAAAACCGATTAACTCGATTTTTGCGAAGGAAATATGGACTCTATAAGGTCATTAAAATATCTATCGTGAAAATGGAGATGTCTGGGATATTCCACATTCGCGTGTCGTTATTCGATATCAGCAGTTCTCGCGATCGGCAGATCATGACAGGAGATGTGGCACGGTGCCACCTGAAAATGAGTCCCGAGACTCGCGGCGGATCGCCGCAGGTGCGAGCGTGTCAATTTAACGACGGCGGCAGCGTCGCGTACGGCGTCGGCATACCGAGGAAGACTTAAGGAGC